TTGTACTAGGGCACTAGAGCTGCGCACTTACCTACACATCCCTCCTAGCACCTGCGGAGCTCTCTGAATGGGCTGATTTGTGCCATTTCTACACGGGGGAGGGAGATGACTCACCTCACAGCTGATGCCTCAGTGTCCTTTCCATGCCCAGGGCTGTGGCTGCTAGCCTCAGGGACTCAGCTGCTCTGTGTCTGGGGCTCCAGCTGTTGGTGTTGCACTTGGGATTGGGCTCTGCCTGAAGTGCACCAGCAGCCCATGCCATGATCCACCCAGTGCACTAGCTGCAGGTCCTCCATCTAAGGCTCTGGCTGCCAGCCCTGCACCCTGGTTCTCCATGCTGTGCCTAGGGTCCTCGCTGCTGGCCCAGGGGGCCTGGCTTTTGGCTGCAGCTCCCAGACTGTCATAGCCCCACTCAGACTCTGGGTGGGGGAGGCAAGGGGCCTGGGTGTAACTAGCCAAAGATGCTCTGCTCTGTAGTCTGCTGGGTAGCTGGCTCACGGGTCCTAGTTCTAGTCTCCCGTGGGAAGAGTGGCTTCGACGAGCGATTCTTTCCATTTCCCCCATGCATGGCCCAAGAGGGGGACCACCCCCCACCTTTGCAGGCGCCTCTGGCTGCTTGAAGGGGGTTCTCCCACTCACTGGGGGTAGGGGGAGGCCTCCCTGACAGGTGGATTCAAGTCCGGGGGGGAGGCAGGAGCCTCTCACTTATGGCACCACTGGGGCCAAATGAGGGAGCGATGACTTTTCAATAAATAATTAAAAGGGGGCCCCTGAGATAGCAGGGCCCTGGTTCAATCCTGCTTCCAGGCAGCAGCACAGGAGCCCCCCCAGCCCTGTGAGACGGCAGCAGCGTCTCTGGCCCCTGAGGTGTTTGCTAAGGGGAGCAAATTGAGAGAAAGCCACCAGCCCATGCACACTGGCTGGGGCTGGAGAGCAGGGGCATGCAGCTGTGAGCATGGCAAGTGGCTCTGCAGTGCAGCACATCCCTCCCTCCCTGTGTCTGGCCTTGTTAATTAGTCAAAGTGAAACAAGGGCAGGAGATTCCAGCTGCCTGTCCTAGGGTCAGGGCACCTACCGGAGCAGAAGCAAACCCCTTCTCATCAGAGGGGAGCTTTGTACTAGGGGTCTCCTGCCAGCACGAACGCAGGAGAGCGGCCGGTACAAGCAGCCTCCTTTGTTACTCACCCCCGGATTACACTAGCATGGGTTTGTTGCTTGAGGAATTAGCACTCCACTGTTTGCACTACAAGGTTAAACCAAAGACAATAGAGCTGCCACTACAGGTTTAAACTAAAGAGGGAACCAGCTCTCTCTCTCTCTCACACACACCCCTCCATCCATTCACACCCCTTCATTCCTACTTATACAGGCATACGGGCTGCAGAAGGAGCCAAAGAATGTAGATCCTGGAGGGTCTCTCTCTCTGATCATGGCTGGGGAGCTGGTCAGGAAAGAGACTACGGCTACATCTACATTGGCAGCTTCTTACGCAAGGGATGTACTTTTGCACAAGAGCACCCATGGCAGTGTGGACACACTCTTACGTAAGAAAGCTCTGATGGCCATTTTAACCACAGGGCTTTCTGGCACAAGAAATTCATGTTACCTGTCTACACTGGCCTCTTGCACAAGAACAGTTGTGCAAAAGGGCTTATTCCTGAGCAGGAGCATCCAAGTTCTGGTGCAAGAAGCCCATATTTTATACATTAGAACGTCAGTTTACTTGTGCAAGAACATGTGGCCAGTGTAGACAGGCAGCAAGTTTTTGTGCAAAAGCGGCCACTTTTGCGCAAGATCACACCAGTGTAGAGAGGAACTTCTCAAGAGCAGGGGAAGAAAGAGTCTCACTTGTGTGCCCACTCCTTTTATATTGTATCTGTATGTCCCCTGAGACTCTCATACCTCGGCACCAGGGAGCATGCCCAGACTTCCCTTTATCCAGCAAAGCAGCAGTCTCTGATGACTCATCACCATGTGCTCCAGCCTCAGCATTGCAACCTCAAAAACACACCCACACCTCCTCTCTTCATTCACTCAGGGTGTGAGGAGAATGCAGTTTAGAGCAAGTTACAAACAAGATGGCTGAGTTTTACAAAGATTACAGCAAGGTTTGACAAAGGTTACAATGAGTTGCAGTTTAAAACCTCAGACCTTACAGTTTAGTGTATTTGTGTAAAATCAAGTAAGCTCAGGCTCAAGCTTTTTATGCAACATCCTTTGGCGCAGGGGGCCGCCAGGCGTCTTAATCAAGACGCATTCCCGGGATGGGGTATTGTGCTAAGTGGGCACTGGGGGGCCGACTGAACTAGGGCAGCGCTGGGACAGGGAGCGCCAGGCTCTCAGCGTGGGGGCCTTTGCTTGCCCTACCTGCCTGGTCACACAGTCAGGAAAAACCCGACAGAAACCAGCAGAATTGGACAGCCCTGCCCATGGGCAACAGTGAACAAAGTGTCTGGTGGGCCACATGTAGAACGCCGCTGGGCCGCAGGTTCCCCATCGCTGCTCTGGACTCCAGCTGACAGGCAGGGACTTTTGGGTTGTCCCGTGCAGCTAGGCTGCCTCTCCCCATGCCAGTGGGCCACACCCAGGACTTCTTGCTCCCTCCCTGTGGGGTGGGAGGCAGGCGCTGGATACCCTGAGTGAGGCAACAATGCGCCTGTGAACAGGCAGAGACCCAGGCAACAAGGGAACTTCTGCAAAACCTAGGCTACCTGCAGGGTTAGACAGCAGCTAAACAGGAGCTTGGAGCCTAAAAATAGGTCTGAGGAGCCTGGGTCCCTTTGCAGCTCCTACACTAGGGATTTTATGACCTGCCTTGTGCTGGGCTGAGTGAAGGGCCACAGGCAAGAGTCAGTCAGAGCTTTACTCTGCAACTGATCCAGGCTTTTCTTTGGGTTTTACAGAAAGCAGCTGCATCTCTGGAGAAAAAGTGAAGTTGCCAGTGTTAGCGATTGAAAGAAAACTCGTTAGGAAGCACAGGCCTGTAGCGCTGTAGGACATGGAGTAAAAGAAACCGATTCTGATCATATCCAGGATCAAACCCCTGCACCACTCGCCTGAAAGGGGAAGGACTCTATTCAGGATGCTCACTGTGGTCCTCGCCCCCAAGTTAGTGCCCCACCAGTCAGGCATTTACACTCAGAATCAGCGCAGACACGCCCTCCACCGCAGCCCATCTCTGCCCAGTCCTGTCTGCTTGGAGCACACAGAGACCGACGGTGCATTCTTCACCACCTCGGCTGTGTCGTCATGGTGCCGAAGCGCCCGTGGTTTGAGCAGCTAGCGAACCGCCCAGAGCATGGGGAGCTCTGCCCGGTTTTGGGATAAGGGCCGGGCTGCCAGCAGCAGTCGCCCTCTTACTGCCTCAAGATCAGGAGGAGAGAGCGCACTTGGAACGGCGTAAAGGAGAGTGTTAGGCCATGCTCCCCCAGTGGCAGATGGCTGCTGGGGTCCGGCCGTTCCAGGAGGTCACAGCTGGGGAAGGAAGAGAAGGCGAATGAAGCTGAGGCTCCAGAATACAAGGTCTCACAGAAGCCTCCTCCTTCCCCACCTACTTACTCGATTGCTTCCTTGATGGGAAGGGCAGTCCGGAGCCATGTGACCACTGTGCTGCCATATGACTCATACAGCCTCAACACCAGGCTGTCCAGCCTGTCCTCAGCCTTCATGGACAGAGAAACATTATTCTCAGGAGCAGCAAGAGAACTGCTAATACCTGCTCTCCAAATGCTTACAAAGGGGGGAGTATCATCATCCTGAGTACAGACAGGGAAACTGAGGCACAGAGAGGGGAAGGGCTGTACCTACGTGTAAGGCTGTACCTGTGGCAGAGCTGGGGCTAGCCCTAGTGCAGCACTCTAGGCACTAACGTACATTGCCTAGACAGCACAGTGCCCCGCCCACCCTCAGTGGGAAACAGCAGTTTGGGTTCACCCTTTAAACAGGTGGAAATCCAGTGGGAAGAGTTTAGGAGCCTCCCCCAGGAGCTTGGCCAGGTCTCCGCCCAGCAAAGCCGACTGGATTTGTGGGCACTCAGCAGCTCTGAGCATCAGGCCCAAGGCACTGCAAGTTGGGTGCCTAAAAATGGAAGAACCCAGAGCAGTAGCAGCTTCTCATGGTTTTGGCTAGCGTGACTTTCCTAAGTCCAAACAGCAGGCGAGGCAGCCCGATTCCCAGACCCCTGCTGTAACCACTAACCCACACTGCCTGCCCTGCCAGTGTAGCGAGAACTCGCCCGCAAGGGACTTGGCCTCTGTCAATCCCAAGCGCGGTAACAAAGCATGAGGCTAACACCAGTGCTGTGTGTCTGTGGACACCACGGCTGGCTGCCTTCAGCGCATCCCTCTTGGGGGCACCTGCCTGTTTGACGGTTTCTAGCACCACAGCTGGGGAGTCCACGGAGAAGGCGCTCCAGGCTGGACATGGCACCGAGACAACAGGAATAGTGTGCAGAGGGTAGTTCAAACTGTAGGCACAATGGATTACACCCGCCTCCTGGAAGGAGCCTGCGCAGAGAATACAACCAGGAGCTAAGCACAGAGCAGTTCGAGAAACAGCTGCACACACTCTGTCCCATACCGGGGAGTGGCTCATCTTTGCCCCACGGGCTCCCTTCATGAACTGGCCGTCTCTATGGGGCACATCTGTACCATCGGCTCCATCCCCAAAACTCACCCCTGTGGGGCATCACGGCGTAGGTGAACTGATGGTGCCCAATATCTGCAGTGGCATCAGGTGACTTTGGGGCTCTCAGCCTGGAGGAGAGGGGCGGATTAATGGAGTGGAGCCTCTTCCCCTGGCCGTGACTAAACCCAGCCCCGCTCCCTGAAAGCGCGAGTCCACGTGCACAGCCCTGGCTAGCGTCAAGCCGCCCTGCCACCCCGTCTCGCAGCAGGGTCTCCTGCGCCCTGCCCCGCAGGCTCCGTGGCAGTGCTGCGGGGAGTCCTGCCATGAGAGCGAACGCCCGCGGCGCTCACAGGACACGTTCTGTCCGGACGGGTCACCCGCTAGGATCAGAGCATTCGAGAAGCAGATCCGGCCGTGGAGCGCACGGAGCTGCAAGCGCAGGCAAGCCCTCGTGGCAGGCAGGCCTCACTGTTGCAGGCAAGCTATCTCCGTACCTGGCAGAATGGGCAGGCAGCTGATCCCGCTACAACTGGGGGACAAACTGCACTAGGGCTTCTGTTTCCAGTGCACGCGGGCCAGAAGCATCCCCAGCGAGCAGAACTG